TAGGCCTTGTACTTCTCCGTACTTATTTAAATAAACTGCGCGTTTTCTGGCTTATCTTTTACTCTTATTTTCCATACTTTTTTGGACCGACCTCCAGTCTATGTGGCCGATTCCTGGTCTTTTTACGGCGAGACTTTCTTGGCGTGGGAGTCGCCAAATCTGATTGCCGACCTTGTGACCGAAGTCTCTTTCGCGAACTTGACCTGTATCATCTAACGGGCCGAGTGCTATCGGGCCTTTCTAGAAGCTTCCAGTTCGCGTCTGGTGGGCCCAGAGGCCATGGCCTACGATGGGCTTCCGGCTTAGCAGGCCGGGTCACTGACGTTCGGCCCTAGCCTAGGGCAGACACGCCGTTTGCAGGCTAGCCCTAGGCCTGAACCGTCGCCCCGCCATTTAAGGCATTAAATGCGGCGTCCCTTCATATCCTGTCACCTCCGCTTCCTCCAACGAGGTGGTGACACGTGGCCGTCGCTTGGGCTTCTCCCTCTTTTAAATAGCCATCCTCTTCCTCTTCTCCTCACTTTCTCTTAATCCTTCGAACTCAACTCCAAGCTCTGCCAATTTTCTCTGCATTTTCCTTAGTCTGCGCCCAGGTTGGTAAATGTCTTCCTCTTCTCATTCTTCTTCTTCTCGTCGTCGCTCGGTCGATAACCCAGCGGCAACCTCCCCGTCTTCTTCTTCTCCTTCCTCGTCTTCTTCTTCTCCTCCCCGTCGCATGGAACTTCCGGCAGACGTTCCATCGACGTCTTCTCTTCCTCCGACCCCCTCTTCTTTGGGGGCGGTTACTCCGATGAGCCCCGCTCCTCTAACGACGGTGGCAGCTCTGTCGAGCGGCGCCGGACGGCCGCGAGGCAAGTTCGATTCAATCGTCCGGCCTTCCGGGTCACCGTCCGTCGTTACTGCGACGGACTTGGAAATGGCCCAATTTCTTCTTAGGCCTTCGGCCGTGGTCCTCGCTCCGGAAGGCCGGCAAATTTACGACCCACCTGAGGGTTGCGTGGGCATTCACTTGCACTCGGTTGCCTTTGGCTTCCGAGTTCCTCCGTGTCCTTTCCTCTCCCTTTTCTATCGTCATTACAACGTTGTTCCGGGCCAACTGGTGCCCAATTCTCACCGACTTCTCACCTGCTTCATAAACCTCTGCCACTGGTGGTTGTGTGAGCCGGATTTAGACCTGTTCCGGTATCTTTTTACCGTGAACAAGGTCGGCTCACACTCGCCGGGTTTCGTCCAAGTTGCCGCTCGTCCGGGGCGACAGCTTTTCGAGGGGTTGTCCGACTCCATCAAGGACTGGAAACTCCTCTATTTCTTCGTCCAACCTGCTTTCTCCTCCTTCACCTTTCCGACCCTGTGGCCGGCTGCTCTATTCAAGCCTTGCTCTCGGCGTGATTTCTTCACTAACGATGCAGTCCAAGGCGGCGAGTTCTTGAAGGGCATTGGACCATACTCCGTCAAGTACTGGTCCCGAGTCCGGGCCATGGCCAAGCGTGGCTTGCTGCCGGAGGGTGCGGCCACCGTAGGTAGTTTTCATTGCCTCTCTCTTCTCGCTTCTTTTTTGCTCTGTCTCATTCCGACTCGGAATACTTATGACTTTCTTTTCCTTCGCAGGTCCGTACGACTCCGACTCCACCAGTTCCGACGAGGCTGCTGCGCCGACTCCTGAGATGGCGGACAGAGCTGAAAAAATGAGGAGTCGGCTGACCCAGCACGGCTACTGCTTCTTCCTCCCAACCGTCACCAGCTCCCAGGTCGACTCCTCCACCACCGCACAACGTGGTTGACCTGACGCCGTCGCCCGTCGTGTCGCCGACTCGACAGCCGCCCCCTCCCCCATCTGAGAGTCCGAGCTCCAAACGGCCGGCCGAGCAGACGGACACGCCGGCTCCGAAGAAGATCCGGTTGAGCCACGAGGTGGACGAGGATGCCCAGATCTGGCAAGGCAACTCCTCGGTCCGCAAATGGGCTACAAACGTCCTTCTTCCTAAGGATGTGGCGACGACCGGCGCCCTGGGGGACGAGTACATCGTTGAGGCCTCGCTACGCCAGTCGTATCGCGTAAGTATTTCCGACTCGCCTCTTTTTCCGTTCTCCTTCATAAATTTTCTGACTTCCTGTCGTCTTGCAGAATCTCACCTTCCAAATGGAGATAAGCCGGCGACTGAGGGAGTATAAGGCCGGGCTGAAGTCCATGGCCGTTCGGGTGCACCAAACGGAGGAGGCCTTCTTGGAGGAGCAAGCTAAGCATGCCAAGGCGGTGGAAGTGCATAACTCCGAGATGCTGAGGGTCACCCGTCAGTGGGAGGAGGAGCGAGACAAAGTGGCGACCATCGCCGCGACCTTGGTGGAGGACTATAAGAAGTCGGCGGCGTTTGAGGCGGACGTGAAGGCGGCTATAGAGGCCCGGCAGAAGGAGATCGCCAAAGCGTGGCTGGCGACGCCGGAAGGTGACAACTTCCTTCTGGATCTGGGCGAGCGCGACTATCGCCTTGGCTTCCACAAGGCGCAGACGGAAATCCACTCCGCCCTGTTGGTCCGCGACTCCTCTTTTACCCCCGAGAGCTGGGGCCTAAAGTCGGTGATAGACGTTCCCCCGGCGACTGAAGGACCGGCGGCGGCTGCTGATCCGACGGCTCTCCCTACGGCGGCACCTCCCAATCTCATTGAGTCCTCCCCTCAGGTAGAGGACCCTTCTTCTGTTCCCCCAGCTGGACTAACGGCAGGGGCACAAGTTGAAGGGGTCGCTGTCGACACCCCCTCCCCAGTAGCTTAGGGCTATTCTTTTTGGGATAGCCCCTTTTTGTAAAGGCTGGCCTCCTTCTCGGGCCTTTTTGAATTTTAATGAAGTTTCCTTTTTCTCTTTCTTTCTGTGTTGCCTTGAACTCGATAAATTTCCTTAAGGTTCTGGAAATCGAAGAAATATTTCTAAGGCCTCGGGCCTTTCTGATTCTGAGAGATGACTTGGGCTAAACGCCCTGTTGACTCCTTATACACTCGCCGAGTCCCTCCATCGAGGCGACTCCTCTGGGCCTTTTCATGGAAACGACTAAGAGTCTGGGCCCTTGTTTCCTAACTCTTCTCGTCGAGTCCCTCAGTCGAGGCGACTCCTTAGGCTTTTTCTCTCTCAGAAACGTTTTGGGGTCGGTGCCCCGTTGTTTCTTTATATACTCGCCGAGTCCCTCAGTCGAGGCGACTCCTCTTGGCTTTTTCACGGAAACGACTAAGGGTCTGGGCCCTTGTTTCCTAACTTTTCTCGCCGAGTCCCTCAGTCGATGCGACTCCTAGGCTTTTTCTTTCTCAGAAACGTTTTGGGGTCAGCGCTCCGTTGTTTCTTTCTATACTCGCCGAGTCCCTCAGTCGGGGCGACTCCTCTTCGCTTTTTCACGGAAACGACTAAGGGTCTGGGCCCTTGTTTACTAACTTTTCTCGTCGAGTCCCTTAGTCGAGGCGACTCCTTAGGCTTTTTCTTTCTCAGAAACGTTTTGGGGTCAGCGCCCCGTTGTTTCTTTATATACTCGCCGAGTCCCTCAGTCGAGGCGACTCCTCTTGGCTTTTTCACGGAAACGACTAAGGGTCTGGGCCCTTGTTTCCTAACTTTTTCTCGCCGAGTCCCTCAGTCGAGGCGACTCCTTAGGCTTTTTCTTTCTCAGAAACGTTTTGGGGTCAGCGCCCCGTTGTTTCTTTATATACTCGCCGAGTCCCTCAGTCGAGGTGACTCCTCTTGGCTTTTTCACGGAAACGACTAAGGGTCTGGGCCCTTGTTTCCTAACTTTTCTCGCCGAGTCCCTCAGTCGAGGCGACTCCTTAGGCTTTTTCTTTCTCAGAAACGTTTTGGGGTCAGCGCCCCGTTGTTTCTTTACATACTTGCCGAGTCCCTCAGTCGAGGCGACTCCTCTTGGCTTTTTCACGGAAACGACTAAGGGTCTGGGCCCTTGTTTCCTAACTTTTTCTCGCCGAGTCCCTCAGTCGAGGCGACTCCTTAGGCTTTTTCTTTCTCAGAAACGTTTTGGGGTCAGCGCCCCGTTGTTTCTTTATATACTCGCCGAGTCCCTCAGTCGAGGCGACTCCTCTTGGCTTTTTCACGGAAACGACTAAGGGTTTGGGCCCTTGTTTCCTAACTTTTTCTTGCCGAGTCCCTCAGTCGAGGCGACTCCTTAGGCTTTTTCTTTCTCAGAAATGTTTTGGGGTCAGCGCCCCGTTGTTTCTTTATATACTCGCCGAGTCCCTCAGTCGAGGCGACTCCTCTTGGCTTTTTCACGGAAACGACTAAGGGTCTGGGCCCTTGTTTCCTAACTTTTCTCGCCGAGTCCCTCAGTCGAGGCGACTCCTTAGACTTTTTCTGTCTCAGAAACGTTTTGGGGTCAGCGCCCCGTTGTTTCTTTATATACTCGCCGAGTCCCTCAGTCGAGGCGACTCCTCTTAGCTTTTTCACGGAAACGACTAAGGGTCTGGGCCCTTGTTTCCTAACTTTTTCTCGCCGAGTCCCTCAGTCGAGGCGACTCCTTAGGCTTTTTCTTTCTCAGAAACGTTTTGGGGTCAGCGCCCCGTTGTTTCTTTATATACTCGCCGAGTCCCTCAGTCGAGGCGACTCCTCTTGGCTTTTTCACGGAAACGACTAAGGGTCTGGGCCCTTGTTTCTTAACTTTTCTCGCCGAGTCCCTCAGTCGAGGCGATTCCTTAGGCTTTTTCTTTTTCAGAAACGTTTTGGGGTCAGCGCCCCGTTGTTTCTTTATATACTCGCCGAGTCCCTCAGTCGAGGCAACTCCTCTTGGCTTTTTCACGGAAACGACTAAGGGTCTGGGCCATTGTTTCCTAACTTTTCTCGCCGAGTCCCTCTGTCGAGGCGACTCCTTAGGCTTTTTCTTTCTCAGAAACATTTTTTGGGGTCAGCGCCCCGTTGTTTCTTTATATACTCGCCGAGTCCAGGCAATGGTTATCAGCAATCCGTACTCTTTTATTCAAGTCTTTCCGTATCCTCGGGCCTATACACGGCCTAACCTTTCCTACTGATAGAACTTCTTCAAGTGGATGACGTTCCAAATTCGGTCCACAGGTTGGCCTTCCAGAGTTTCAGGCTTGTAAGTGCCGGCCTGGACCACCGCGGCGATGCGATAGGGTCCTTCCCACTTTACCGCGAACTTGCCTCCTTCCGCGGGCTGGCTGGCTTGCCGGTCTCGTAATACAAGATCGCCGACCTGGAAGGTTTGTGGGCGAATCCTTCGATCGCGATATCTTTTTACCGCTTGTTGATATTCGACCATCTGAGCACTCGCAGCTTCTCTTCTCTCTTCTAGGAAATTTTTCTCAATTCGAAGACTTTCTTCATTTTCCGTGTCGGAATAAGTGCGGACCCGGTGAGTGGGCTCGACCACTTCAATTGGGACCTTAGCTTCGAAGCCATATGCAAGGGAGAACGGGCTTTCTCCAGTCGCTCGCGGCTGCGTAGTGCGATAAGCCCATAGGACTCGGTCAAGCTCATCCGCCCAATTTCCTCGGATATCTTCCAATTTCTTTCTGATTCCATCCACTATGGTTCGATTCACATTTTCGACTTTCCCGTTGGCCTGCGGGTACGCCACGGATACCTTGGTATGGCGGATGTTGTGTCGGCCGCAGAAGTCAGCAAACGCCTGGCAGTCGAACTGTCTCCCATTATCGCTGACAATATGCTCGGGTAAGCCGAAGCGGCAAATCACCTTCTTCCATAGGAAGCGTCGGCACGGGTACTCGGTAATAGTGGCCAATGGTTCAGCCTCAACCCACTTGGTGAAGTAGTCGATAGCTACGACACAAAACTTCAGGCCCCCGGGAGCTGCGGGTAACGGCCCCAACAAGTCGATTCCCCACTTAGAAAATGGAATAGCCGTGGTGACCGGCGTGTAGAAGGTAGCTGGCCGAGTGTCTTTTCTGGCGAACGCTTGGCAAACGCCGCACTTGGACATCCATTCGATGCAGTCTCGCATCATGGTCGGCCAATAATACCCCTGGACGACCAACTTTCGGGGGAGCGTGTGGGCGCCCTGGTGTGCGGCGCAGATGCCTCTATGAGCTTCGTCCATTATTTTCTCGGCCTCGGTCCTGAGCAAGCATTTCAACAAAGGACCTCCGAACGACCGTTTGTATAGTTGCCCATCAATGATTTCGAAAGAGGGGGCTTTTCGTCGAACCCTAGCGGCGGCTCCCGGGTCTTCCGGTAATTCGCCTGTCTCCTTGAATCGCCGGATATCCTCTATCCAGAACATCTCGGGGTTCTTCTCTCGGTCCCATTCCTCGCCAGTCACCTGCTGGACTTCTACTGTTGTTTCCTCGATACTTGGTCGATTTAACTCCTCCTTTTGGCAGATCTTCACAAGGTGATCTGGTACTCCCTCCAAGGCAATTTTAGACAATATGTCGGCTTCCACGTTGTCTGCCCGGGAAATGTATTCTATTTCGTAAGCTCCGAATTTCTTCAACATTTCAACCGCTCGCTCTTTACATAAAGTCATCCGCGTATTCTTAGCCTCGCACGTGCCTGAGATCTGCCCGACTACTAATCTGGAGTCGGTCTTGATTCTCAATCGCTTCACTCCTAAGGCTTTGGCGAGTCGAAGACCATTCAGTACGGCTTCATATTCGGCCTCATTATTAGATGTCGGAAACAAGTAGCTCAAGGCATAGTATTGCCGGAACCCCTCCGGGGAGATGAACATAACTCCACCCCCGCAGTGTCGTCGACTCGACGCTCCGTCCGCATGCATTTCCCACCACTCGCCTAAACTGTCCTCCGTGGCGTGTTCCTTTTCTTCTTCGCTTGCCGTGCACTCGACCAAGAAGTCGGCCAAGGCTTGACCCATTATGGAGGGCCGGGGCTGGTACTCAATCCCACACTGGGTTAGTTCCATGGCCCATTTCACTAGTCGGCCGGACGACGAGGGGTTTCGCAGGACGCTCCCCAGTGGCTGGTCAGTCAGCATTCTGACGGTGTGGGCTTGGAAGTAAGGTGCTAGCTTTCGCACGGTAATCACCAAAGCGTATACAATCTTCTCCAGGGCGGTATACCGCGACTCGGCGGCCTTCAGGGAGCGGCTTACGTAATAAACCGGGTGCTGAACGCGCTCTTCTTCTCGGACTAGCACCGAACTCACCGCCTTAGAGGAGGCGGCTAAGTATAAGAATAAGGGCTCGCCCGCCTGGGGAGTAGACAATACCGGGGGTGTTGAGAGATATTGTTTCAATTCTTCGAACGACTGCTGACACTCGGTGGTCCAAGCGAATCCCTCCTTCTTCTTCATGGCCTCGAAGAAGGGCACCGTTTTATCCGCCGCTTTGCTCAGGAAGCGACTAAGGGCAGCTAATCGACCAGTCAATCGTTGCAGGTCTTTGATGGAACCGGGGGGCTGCATGTCGATGATGGCCTATACTTTCTCCAGGTTAGGCTCAATACCTCGCTTGGTGACCATGTGGCCCAAGAACTTTCCACCTTGCACTGCGAAAGCACACTTTTTGGGATTCAACCGGAGATTATATCTTATCATTACTTTAAAACAGCCGGCCAGATCTTCCGCATGTTTGCTCTCCTCTCGGCTCTTGACGAGCATGTCATCGACGTACGCGGCCATTGATTTTCCCAACAAGTGCTGAAATAGTCGAGCCACCAGTCGTGTATATGTAGCTCCGGCATTCTTAAGTCCAAAGGGCATGACTCGATAGCAATAGACTCCATCCGGCGTTAGAAACACGGTCTTTTCTTCGCCTGCTGAGTGCATGAAGATCTGATGGTACCCCCTGAAGGCGTCCATGAAGCTCAGCAGAGCCGACCCAGCAGTTTCATCAACCAATTGGTCAATCCGCGGTAATGGAAACGGGTCCTTAGGACATGCCTTATTAAGATCAATATAATCGACGCACATTCGCCACGCCGGGGGCTTCGGTACAAGAACCACATTCGCCAACCACTCCGGGTACTTAACCTCTCGGACATGTCCGGCTGCTAACAACGTGCTCACCTCCTTTTTTACGAATTCTCTCCGATCATTGGCCAGGTACCGCTTCTTTTGTACGACTGGCCGATGCTCAGGGTCTACAGCGAGTCGGTGCGATATAATGGATCGATCGACACCGGGCATGTCCTCTGGACACCGGGCATGTCCTCTGGACCCCAGGCGAAAACCAGCCGGTGTTCTCGGAGTACTTTTATGATTCCTTCTCTTACCTTTTGCGGAAGACCGACCCCAATTCGGACCCGCCTGTCCGGTTGCTCACGATCAATCTCCACCTCTTCCAATTCAACAGCCGGCTCGGGGCGAGGTATCATTGTCTTCTTTGGGAGCCTTTCCGTGATCTCATGGACCTGCATCCCTTGCTTGCCCCTTCCTCGACAGGCTTGCAGGTAGCAGTCGCGGGCGACCTTCCGGTCGTAGCGCACCGTACCTATTCCGTTTGGCGTGCGGAATTTCAGGCAGAGATGCTCGATTGAAATCAGAGCTCCTAGATCCTTTAGACCCGGTCGGCCGAGTATAGCATTATGCGAGCAGGCCAGATTTACCACGATGAATTTCATACTGAGTCTTTGTACGTCTGGGTAACTGCCAATTTCAACTGGCAGAATGATGGATCCTTCGGCTTCTACCGAATCCCCTGTGAAACCGGCGAGTGGAGTTTTGACGGGATTCAGCTGGTCTCGGGCTAACCCCATTTTCATGAAGGTTTCTAGGTATAACACATTAACACTGCTCCCGGTATCGACCAGGATTCGGCGAACGACTACCCCCTTGATGTCCATGGCTATAACTAACGCATCTCGATGCGGCGTCTCACCAGCCGGTAAATCTCTATCGGTGAAGATGATGGGCTCTCGGCACGCCTTCTTAGAATTCTCCTCGCGCCCATACACTGTCCCGACGTACAACTGTCGAGCCCAGGCCTTTCGAGTGTTCGCTGAGTCATCACCTTCCGGCCCGCCGACTATCATGTTGATAACCGGCTTTTGACGCCACTGAGCCTCATCTTCTTCAGAAGCAAGCCGCTTGCCCCTATTACTCTCGGCGGCGACGGCGGGATCCTCGTCCCCTCGATTGGCCGACCTCCGTCTCCATTGATTAGGAGGCGGGGTTCCTTGCTGGATGATACCCTCCATGATCTTCTTCAGGTAAAAGCATTCCTCTATGCTGTGGGTATAAGATTTATGGTAACGACAATATTTAGAAGTCTTACCCGTCTCTTCGCTAGTGATGCGGTCATCAATCGGCTGAGGCGGATGCGGGGCGACCGCTTGTATTTCATGCACCGGCCGTTCGGGAGCCGGCCGGTAGGGGTGTACGGCAGGCCTGTTGTATGGTCGCCTGATTTCGGATCATCGGGTCGCGTCCGGGCGCCTTTCCTTGGTTTCGGCTCGCGTTCTCTTTCCATTGGCGGACCCGCCGACTTCGCGCTGTCGTTTGTGTTTTATAGCCTGCTATGTGTTGGCCCTCTTGTTGGCCATATGGATGGCTTCCGCGTAGGTAGCCGGGCGGTTGTCCCACAGATCTCGGTATAGCTGGCCGGACCGCAGGGACTCGATGAAGAAGGTGAGTGCCATCTGGTCCTCGACCTCCTCTATAGGCTAGATTTCTTTCAGCCAATGGGCCAGATAGATTTTTAAGGACTCGCCCTCATCCTGATGAATGTCGCCTAGGTGGGTTAAGTCTTTTTGTGGCCTGATATTGGCGGCATAATGGCTCATAAAGCGGTCCGCTAGCTCTTCGAAGCTACGAATCGATCCCGACGGCTGTGCCACCAGCCACCTTTGTGCTGGGCCTTTTAAAGTGGGCAGAAAAGCGCGGCACATGACCGGGTCTTGAACTCCCAAAACCTGCATCTTGGCTTGGTAGCTCAGCAAATGCTCTCGAGGGTTGCCGGATCCATCGAACGTGGCTTGCTCTGGGAATTTGAAATCACCCGGTATTTTGAAGGCCATGATCTTGTCCGAGAAGGGCAAGGCGGTTAATAACGTACGTCCTGGGGATTTGGCTTTTCCCACTACCTGCTCTCTCAGATTTCGCACTTCTTGGACTAAGTTTGCCACCTCGACCCTCTCCCGGGTATGATTTCCTGTTGATTTTGTGCTCTCACCGACCTCCGACCCGGCCGGTTCGTCGCGGTTGCGGACGGGCTGCTCTATACGGCAAGCCTCAGTCCTAGTTCCTCCGGTTCGTCTCCTGCAACTTGGAGATGAAGAGGTTTCTTCGTCTCCGAGCAGCGGGACCTTCGTTTTCAATGTTCCCTTCCAGCGCCCAGGGCAAAGAAGGTCTACTATGGAGTGTGAATTAGTAAATTCACTGTTATCACCTTTTGGTTCTTGGGGGTCTTTTGCCCTTTCAAGTTTATGAGAAGATAAATCTCTCTGGTCAAAGTGTCTGCATATTGCATGTACCTTAAGTCAAATTGTAGTTCTGGAACTCAAAGTTTACTGGATGAAATCTTTATTCTTGTACACATATGTGGCTATGAAAACCAAGAGGCACAACCCTATAACTCTCCCAAAGACGGCAAACAACACTTTGAAACTCTGCAACGCCACGACAGTCAAGGTTGAAGTTTTCTTTGATTCTGTACACACCTCATCACTTCTCAACCACTGTCTTGTGGTATCTAAATTGTTGCTTCCTTATGTTAACTTGATGAGGGCACAAGAGACGTCGGCTACTAAAGGAAACCCCTTTAGAGAACCTGGCGATTTTGACAGAATGTATGAATGAGGAGAAAACACAAAGTAACAGTAAAATCTTGGAAAGAATGATCCTTGCATAGGCAAATCCTCTTCGTCTTTTGGGTAGATTGGAGATGAAGGTCTCTTTATCTTCGGGCTGCCGAAGACGGAGGTCTCATCGTCTCCGGCAACTTAGAGACGAAGAGACCTCTTCGTCTCCAAGCTGTTGAGACGAAGAGGTCAGGTGTTTTTTTTTTTTTTTTTTTTAAATATCTTTTAATTAAAATTATTAAAATAAAATTTTAAAAAATATTTTTAATCTAATAATCGTCACGTCATCCATCAATAAGTAAACATGTCATTTTTTGTTCAATTGTATGATTTTGTGTTGTTTAGTGACCCAATTATAATTTTATTTTAGTTTGATGACCCAATTACAATTTCGTGTGTAGTCGAATGACCTATTTAACCCATTATTCATTTTTTACTTTAGCCCCTATGATTTTCTCATATGTACTTTAACCCTTTATATTTTACGAATTATAGCAGTTAATTATACAATCAATTCATGTCTATCTTGGATTTGATCCAAAATGACATTCAGGGTTGATGGTTTTTGGGTTTTCGGGCCCAAGGAGGTCCAACACAACCTTTGGCTGGAGGATACACCTTTCAGTAAAATGCGTATCTCAAAAGAAAGAAAGCGCTTTGTTTAGAATCTCTTCTATTCCCTTTCCGGGTCCTCTCTCTGTGTGTCTCTGCCTTCTACAAGAATGGAGGAGCCTTTATATAGCGGCTCCTCCCCTACTGACTTGAAGGCCCTTAATAGCCGACTTCAAGACTAATTAAAGTATCGAGCCGTTGGTCGCCTTTACTGAGTCGGCCAACGGCTCTCTCAAGCTCGTAACATCCGGACCAAGTCAGGCCTTTTAATGATCTAACGGTTCCCTGTTTAAGAGTCTATTTGATGATCTCAACGGCTCCTTGAGCCGAGTCCTTCTCTGGGCTTGGGGCCTGGCCGACTCCTTGCCCTCGACCCAAGCTCCTGCTGGGCTCTTCTTAGCAATCCTGAGCTAGGTCCCCGTGCTTGGCCCTGGGCCGATTCCTGGACTCGGCCCAAACACCCACCGGGCTTCTCCTGACGCAAGCCCACCTTTCCCGTCTTGGGCTCTCTCATTTGGGCTAATCTTTCGTGGGCCGGGGTCCTCACCCCATCAAGGGTATGTGTCTGTAATTAACAGATTATGTGTATATAAATAAATAATATGTTAACTGCAGACACATAATATGTTAGTTGCATATTATGTGGCTGCAAGTAACATATTATTTGCATGCAGTTAATCCATTATGTGCTTGTAGTTAATATATTATTTACTTTTAATTTATTTACAAACACGAGACGCATAATTTGTTAACTGAAAGCATATAATATGCTAAGGCAATTTTTACGGTGGATCGTGATCCAAATAGCAATGTGAATCATGTAAAAAATGATGTCATTTGAAGTTTTTCGAGTTAAAATCAAAATGTGCTCAAAATTAAAGGAAAACCAAAACAAGCTACCTTAATAGGTCAAAATGCCTAAAATTGGTTAAGGATCTAAAATTAAGTGATATTTAATAATGAAGTTTATTAGTTAATAAAATATGCTAAACCAACCTTAATGCATGCTTTTATTAATGTATAATTAAAATAATAATTTATAAATAGACGTGG